TACATATTACCTAATTTACCTATGTACTACAGACTCCAATCAATCATCTTCTTGTTCACTTTTTTCAAATATTCATTTGCCAATGAAAAACATCTCGAATTATCAAATGATCTGTCCCTATTCAGAGGTGATGGATGCCCAGACTTGATTACATGACTATTCCTTACCAAACTGGCCTTTTCCTTTGCATATTTACCCTATAGGATTGTTACGACTTCCCGTTTATCACCGACTAGCTTAATAATCTTATCAGTAGATTTCTGCCATCCCAATCTATTATGCGAACCAGATTTTCCCCTTTCTACTATCAAGATCGAGTTTAAAAGTAATACATTTTTTAACCACTTTTCCAAGGATCCTATTTTAGGTCTAGACCATTTTATATCTTCTATATTCTATTTCAATAGATTAAATATCTTTTTAAGTGATGGCTTGATAGTCTCAGAACTGAATGCCAAACCATCTGCATCATTTGGGTATGGATCCTGACCAACAATTACCACGGAGATATCAAACGGAAACGTTTTAAAACACCAGAATCTGAGATTTCTTTGTGGAAGTACATCGATACCTCTACCTTCGATAGAGGCGATTTGTCTTTTGATGTTTAGATAATATTCACTAACCAATTCATCTCTTAATAGATATAACCAATCTTCATGCATCTGTGCAAATTTATCTCTAAGGAGAAACTTTCTATCATCGTTTAGATTATCCTATATACTTTTTACTTTTCTTTATTAGAAACTTTACTAATGTTAAAAAATCTTTCGAGAGTATTACTCTGTTGTGTGAAAGTTTTGTTATCAGTTTTTGCTTTTTTATTAGAGATTTTTTCATTAGTTTTTCTAGTACATTTAAGCATGACTGGTTAACTATTAACATAATGTTTGCTATATAAATACCTGCTTTTAGTATAACACTAAATACAATATAAATATACTAAATATTTGTATCTATATCTGCCATTATATCTCCCCACCATGAATAAGTCACGATGTGTGATGAGACAACAAAAGAATCTATTTAATCACTCTAGTAATAAAAATGGTATTACTTTAGAGTTCATATACACAGTCTCTAATGACAATCTCATAACTGGGAAGATATTTGAACGAGTTATTCATAAAAAATTCAAAAATCTTCCAATGTTTAAAATTTGTTTTCCATGCACTCCGTATCTACTTTCCGGTGGAGAACTGCTATTTTCCAATGGTGATTATGATTCTTGGACTGTAAGAATAGGGAATATGAAGCTTGGAGAGGGTATAAAAATTGAAACTATGATGGAAGAAAATTATGAATATATACAATCCGAACCAGATACCA